GCAACCAAATTCATAAAAGTAAGGACATTGTGATCTAAGATCCACACATGCTGCATCAGCTTGTATCTCCAACCTCGTTCTGCATAACAAACCTAAAGATATGAAAGAGCTGCATCAGTACGCATGTTACACACAGTATGGTTCAACAGAATCAACAATATTTCCTTACATGATTTTCTTTCAATGTGGCAAGAAGCGAAATGAGACCGTCAATAATGCTTTGCCAGTGAATTGCAGGAGAATCTTTTCCAAATGATCTAACGGATCTCAGCATCCCTCCTTCAGAAGTTATTGGTGCCTGGAGTTTTCATTTGGACAAAACAAAAGAGCTTACGATCTGCAATACACAAGACGTAACACGAAGTGTGAGAAGATATCTTTTTCAGCAACACATACGCTTCTGGATCTCTCATATGATCTCTCCACAAAGTATCCACCTTTAATCGCAATAAAACGAATTGGACTGAGACAACAAAAAACAATCTAGAGGCAATTGATTTTTTTTTACGGTGAAGAAGCTTACCAGATCATCCATCTCCTTAGGGTTTCTCCCGCGGGATAATCCATCTGCGACACCTTTCAGAACTAAAATCACAAAAATCAACGAAATTGATTAGAGCCAAGATAGATTCGATGCGTAAAGAGATGATTTTTTATGGGAAAAACCTTGGAAGCAATGTACGGCGAAGAGCTCAAATTCTTCTAATCGAACTTCCATCGTTGGTGCTGTGAGGTATAGTGGGATCTTGGGAGTTGCAGGGTAAACGGATTGGCCTTCTAAACCAACTTTGACACTCAACATGCAGACCGTGAACATTGAAAGCCCAATCAATTTAAAACACTGCCTGACATGGCGAAATAAAATAACCCTATTGGTCAAATATATTTGAAGACATGGACAGACTTATAGAGTTTGTTATTCTCCTTTTACTAGTGTTAGATATTAGTATAATAGTCTTTCTATTTTCCAAAGAATTTTTTTACATATATTAAAAATAAGTAATATTCAATAATAAATGTCTATTTTTTTCAATGTTATGAAATGCGCTAGGCGCTAGTCGGGCGCTCGATCACTGCCTAGCGAGTTGCTAAAAAATCGGGGATTAATTTTTAATAATTTTAATATATTTATACAATTATATATAGAACTTGTACGCACAAGTACAAAGGAATGAGTTAGTGTAGTGGTGAAAGTGTTGTTGCATCCTCCAAGGACTTGGGTTCGACTCTGTACAGGCAAATCTTATTTTTTTCTAATTTTTTTCATTAACCAGGGTCAATTACTATACTACCCTTGTCTTCTTCCTTATAGATCTGCAATTCCTAAATCCGCCGCTCTTCCTTTTTTTTTCTCGAATTTCTTGTTCAAGCTAGTGTTTATATCAAGATCTGATGGATATATCATGTGGACATTGATTTAAATCATGAAAACTGAAGAAAATATAATTTTTTCCTCAGCTCCGAGTTTTTCACCGCATAGACTCTAAACGCTGCGGTAAGTAGCCGCCAAGCGCCTCCACGCCGAGAACGCGGCCGCCTTGCCCGCGTTTTTGAACAGAGATTTTTTTTTAATAAAAATGTATAATTAAAAATGTAATATAACTGTGAATTAAGAATTAGGCCTCGATTAGTACAACATATAATAAACACAGTAGCAGTGTGTTGCAGAAGCTTTATGCTGCTGAAGCTACATGTTTTTATTAAAGTTTTTAATAAAGTGATTAGAAGAACATTAGCAGTATACAATTATAAAATTGTAATAATAATTAGTATAATAATATATTTCTTTCAAAATAATAATTATATAATTATAATATATATTAATAATATATTTTGTATTAAAAATAATGAATCTTATTCATTATATAAATTATATATAAAAAATTAAAAATTTATTTTTAAAATATTAAATTATTTTTGGATATAAACATATTTAAATATGATTAAATAAATAAATTATATATAATATATATATATATATTATTATTTATTGGTAGAGCAGTAAACTATTCATATATAAAATTATCATAAAATTAATATATGTTATATAATTTATTTATTAGTGTCTAAATAATATGTTTATATCTATAATAGAAAAATATATATTATGTTGTGTTTGTTATTAAAAATAATGAACGATATATGTAATTATATAAGTTATATTATATTTTAAATTTTAAATATTGCTCTTTTTTAAAAAAATATATAATTTCTATTCTTATTTTTAAAAATATAAATTTATTTTTTTATTATAAAATTTTCTATTATTAAACAAAAATAAATAAATTAGATATATTTATTTTTAAATCTTATATATTTTATCTGCAAATGCTCTTCCAAAAGCTCTATAGGAGAGCATTGAGTAAAAAATATTTAGAGAGCATTTGCATTTGGTAAATGCTTTTCTAAATGTTTCTTTGACAAATGTTGATTGGTTAATAGATAGCATAATTCTTACGCTAATGCTCTACTAATAAAGCTTTTACTAGATATTGACTCGCTCTGGAGTGGGCGAATATATTTTTTGTTTAATTTCTTTGCCTAATATAATTTATATGTTTCTTTTTATAATTTATAATTTATATGTTTGTGTGTAATTTGTATAATCATAATTTTGTATGATATGAATTTAATAGAATAGATCATTTTTTGTAAGTATATTAAATAAATCAAGTTTCATAAGTATGTACTTGTGTCTTTCCTTGTATCATATATGGATTTTTTTTGTAATCATATTTGTGTTTTTATCTGTGATTATATTTACGTAATTTTTTTTAAAAAATGATTAATAAAATATTTTGATTAATGTATCGAATTTATTACATTGTTAAACTATACATTTGATACAAATAGGGGCTCCCTACATATTCACATCTTTATAAAAATGTTGTTTAATGTTTAATTAATTAAGATTTATTGATGCAGTTATCAGATTTATGACTCCTGATTGTTAGACGTGTAGTCGTATTGTGTACATGTGGTGGTTACTCTCGAAAATTAAAACTATGTAAACGATATGCTTAAAATATTAAAGAGTGGTGGTTACTTTCGAAAAAGAAAATTATTTGGTGGTTATTTTGGAAAATTAGAAGGGCATTGCAGTTATCATATACAAAAGTATGTATTGTTGAAATAATCGTTAGATCCTATTTTTATCAATTGGTCATGATTCTAATTTGAATAGATACAAGAAAATTAAAATACTGTTGCTAAATATATGTACTGTATCTAAAATTTGGTATTACTGTTTAATTTTAAGAAACATTCAAAAATCCTAAATTTATGTTTCAGAAGAGGAGAGAATATCTGAAATTTGAGTTGACAAACAAAAAAAAAACTAAAAAAATGAAAATTTCAGATGATAAAAAAGAAAAGAGAAAGGAGAAAGGAAGTAGCTTCAGTTTTAAGACGGAGACGCATGCAAAGAAAGGTCATGATGGTGTCTCTGCCTCTCTACGCAGACCTCTCTCCCACGCCCCTTTGGTATTATTATACGAGCTTCAGCTTCTAACCACGTCCATTGTTATTACTCTCCGTTACGCACTTTTTTTACACTTCTGCCACGCCCCTTTGCTCATGTAATGGATTTTGACTACGGCTGGGTAAAATACCAAATCGAATCCGATCCAAAAAAGTAGTATTGAATCCGAACTTGAATTGATTCAATATCTGAATGGCTTCAAAATTTTGATATTTAAAGAACCGAAACCGAACCTGACCCGAACCAAAGTATTTCGGGTACCCGAATATAATCGAAAGAGATTTATATACCTATATATTAATTATTTTTAGATTTAATGTATAAAAAAATTCAATATATATAAAATACTTTGAAGTTATTCAGAGTACTTGTAAATATATGTAAATACTCAAATATACATGTCTAAAATTACTAAAGTACATTCAAAACATCAAAAATACTTTAAAAAATTATTGATTCACAATCCAAATATTCAAATCAAACTAATATATATGTTAATTTTAGGTATTTTGATTTATGTTATTCAATTATTTGTAATATATTATTTTGTTTATAGATTTTTAGAAATTTAAAGTATATAATCAATTTTAAAATTTTAAAAATAATTTAAATGGGTTATCCGAACCCGAACCGAACCCGCAAAGATCCAAACCGAATCCGAACCAAAATTTAGAAATATCCGAATGAGGCTAAAATTTGTGAATCCAAAAACTTAAAACCCAAATAAATCCGAACCGAACTCGAATGGGTACCCGAACGCCCACTCCTAATTTTGACCACAAATACCATTTGTCTATAGACTATATAGTTTACCGTTAATGTATTATACGCATGTGGAGGGTATGAACCAATCAAAAAACCAAAAAAGAAAAAAAAAAAGAATGCCAACGAGAAAGTTGATTCACAAACGCAACACACCACTATCAAATCATTATTTACATAAAAATTAAAAAATAACAATTCAAATACCCAAAAAGCTAAAAAATTCAAAGTTGTAATGAATAAACAGAGGAAAAATAAAAAATAAAAACAGAGCAAACAGTAGTCGGTAGGCTCCATGATTCCTCCTTCTCTACATACTTTCTACGTCTCTTTTCTTTCCTCCTTTGATTAAAATTTTTCTAGGGTTTTCAATGAGAGCAGCTAGGAAAAGGAGATATGGGTTTGAGAACTGATTCGGCTTCTTCTCGAGTTTCTAACGGCTGAGTCAACTCGGTGATTCCTCCTCTGCTTTGTAGCTTTCTTGTTTTTAGAGGTGTCTCCTTCTTTCTTCGGTGTTTGCAAAAAGTGGAAAGATCTTCGTTTTATTCTTCTTGGTGTGGTTAGTGTTTGGCCTTTAAAAGTAGTAGAAAGGAGTAGTCTGGTCTTGCGTGTTGTGTACCCTTTAGAGATCACATGAGATGGATAGGCATTAAGTGAATCTTTAGGTTTTAGATTTGTTGTGGGTTTAAGTAAAGGAGTGGACTTTGGTGTGTGGGTCTTATTATCTGGAGGGTGTGTTTGTGGATTCGGAGGAGTAATGGCGATGTCTTATAAAGATGGTAAGATGGGATGTTTGGAGAATGGGAAGTATGTGAGGTACACACCTGAGCAAGTTGAAGCACTTGAGAGGCTTTATCATGACTGTCCTAAACCCAGTTCTATTCGCCGTCAGCAGTTGATCAGGGAGTGTCCTATTCTCTCTAACATTGAGCCTAAACAGATCAAAGTTTGGTTTCAGAACCGAAGGTAATAATAATGCTACTCCTTAATGCAGTTTTGGGGACTGTAGTAAATGGAAGTTAATTCTTTTATAAACTTCAGGTGTAGAGAGAAACAAAGGAAAGAGGCCTCACGGCTTCAAGCTGTGAATAGGAAGTTGACGGCGATGAACAAGCTGTTGATGGAAGAGAATGATAGGTTGCAGAAGCAAGTGTCCCAGCTGGTTCATGAAAACAGCTACTTCCGCCAACGCACTCCCAATGTTGGAATCCTACCTTTCAGAATGTTTTCCTTAAAATAAAGAGTTCCATGTTGATTTTTTTTAAATCTTTTTTTTTGTTACAGCCTTCACTTCCAGCTAAAGACACAAGCTGTGAATCGGTGGTGACGAATGGTCAACACCAATTAGCATCACAGATTCCTCCAAGAGATGCTAGTCCTGCAGGGTTAGTGCTTTAGTGGGAACATGTTACTTAAATTTTCATTCTGACATTTATAACTCTGAGATTAAACTTTACAATTTTTGTTTTTGCAGACTTTTGTCCATTGCAGAAGAAACTTTAGCAGAGTTTCTTTCAAAGGCTACTGGAACCGCTGTTGAGTGGGTTCAGATGCCTGGAATGAAGGTATCTTGATTCTGTTTACTGCATACTATATGATATCAAAGAGTTATTAAACTTCTCTGTAATGGTTTGTTTTTTTATATACGTAACAGCCTGGTCCGGATTCCATTGGAATCATTGCTATTTCTCACGGTTGCGCTGGTGTGGCAGCACGCGCCTGTGGCCTAGTGGGTCTCGAGCCTACAAGGGTATGTGTAGATAAAATCATTCATATGCAGCATTCAACTACCCCACCTTACATATGTAGCAAGATTGATCTTCTTTATTTTCCAGGTCGCAGAGATCGTCAAAGATCGGCCTTCGTGGTTCCGCGAATGCCGAGCTGTTGATGTTATGAATGTGTTGCCAACAGCCAATGGTGGAACCATTGAGCTGCTTTACATGCAGGTTAGTACATTCAAGTCATATGTGCTAAATTTAAAATTATTTTCCGGTAGTTGAAAGTAAGTCACCATTTTTTCTCTTGATATTTGCAGCTCTATGCACCAACTACGTTGGCTCCACCACGTGATTTCTGGCTGTTGCGTTATACTTCTGTTTTAGAAGATGGCAGCCTTGTGGTGTGTAGCTCTGAAAATTTATACTTATGTTTTTGTTCTTGATATTCTTGTTCATAAACGATGTAACAAATTGTATAGGTATGCGAGAGGTCTCTTAAGAGCACTCAAAACGGTCCTAGTATGCCACAGGTTCAACATTTTGTTAGAGCAGAGATGCTTCCCAGTGGGTACTTGATACGGCCTTGTGATGGTGGTGGCTCCTTTATACACATTGTAGATCATGTGGATTTGGAGGTAACAATCTTCACTCTGCTCCAATGTCTATGCTATTCAATACATTGTGCTAATGTTAACTTGACTGTTAAATAGGCTTGTAGTGTGCCTGAGGTCTTGCGCCCTCTCTACGAGTCACCAAAAGTACTTGCACAGAAGACAACAATGGCAGTAAGTGACCTTACAACTTGCCTATTCCTAACATTGCTTTCTTAGTTTGGAACTCTCGATACTCAATGATGTATGTATCCAATTTTTTCTTAAAGGCCCTACGCCAACTCAAACAAATAGCTCAAGAGAGTTCTCAGACTAACAGTAGTGTCAATGGCTGGGGACGGCGTCCTGCTGCCTTACGAGCTCTGAGTCAAAGGCTTAGCAGGTTTAGATACTCATAGCTCTTTGCCTTTTCTTGCTTTAGATGTAGGATACTATATTTGCTTTCTAATACATCCTTTTTTTTCCCTACAGAGGATTCAATGAGGCTGTTAATGGTTTCACCGATGAAGGATGGTCGGTGATAGGAGATAGCATGGATGATGTCACAATCACTGTGAACTCTTCTCCAGATAAGCTGATGGGTTTGAATCTTCCATTTTCCAATGGCTTTGCTCCTGTTAGCAATGTGGTTTTATGCGCAAAAGCCTCCATGCTTTTACAGGTCACTGCACCATTTTTTTCTTATAGATCAACTTATGTTTGTTTCAACATTTTTCTTCTAACTCCTTTGTTTTGTTTTTTTTTGCAACTTTAGAATGTTCCTCCGGCGATCCTGCTTAGGTTTCTGAGGGAGCATAGATCAGAGTGGGCTGACAACAACATTGATGCATATCTGGCAGCAGCTGCTAAAGTGGGGCCTTGTAGTGCCAGAGTTGGAGGATTTGGAGGGCAGGTTATACTTCCACTTGCTCATACTATTGAGCATGAAGAGGTTAGTTCAAGTTTCTTTTGAACCCTTTGATTGTTTTCTTCTATCTCCATTATAATGGTTGGTGTTTCTCGTTGTTAGTTCATGGAAGTCATCAAATTAGAGGGTCTTGGTCATTCCTCTGAAGATGCAATCGTTCCAAGAGATATCTTCCTTCTACAAGTATGTACTTTTAGATTGCCTCTCTCCTCTGCATGAGTGTTAATGTGGATTCACTTATAACACATTTGTCTTGTGATTAGCTTTGTAGCGGTATGGATGAGAATGCTGTTGGAATATGCGCTGAACTTATATTTGCACCAATTGATGCTTCTTTTGCGGATGATGCACCTCTACTTCCTTCTGGTTTTCGCATCATCCCTCTTGACTCCTCAAAGGTTAGAACACATAATGTTTCCCATTTAAGCTTTTTTGCAAACTCTTAAAGCTTGTCTTGAACCAAAAAGCAGGAAGTATCTAGTCCAAACCGAACATTGGATCTTGCTTCAGCACTTGAAATTGGTTCAGCCGGAACAACAAAAGCCTCAACTGATCAATCAGGAAACTCCACATGTGCAAGATCTGTGATGACAATAGCGTTTGAGTTTGGTATTGAGAGCCATATGCAAGAACATGTAGCATCCATGGCTAGGCAGTATGTTCGAGGCATCATCTCATCGGTTCAGAGAGTTGCATTGGCACTTTCTCCTTCTCACATCAGTTCACAAGTCGGTTTACGCACTCCTTTGGGTACTCCTGAAGCCCAAACACTTGCTCGTTGGATCTGCCAGAGTTACAGGTATTTACATATTTATCAATATACTCTAAGTTTTCCACCAAGTCAACGAGATGGATGATTCATTTTTCTTCTGTTGATACTAGGAGCTACATGGGCGTTGAGCTACTTAAATCGAATAGTGAAGGCAATGAATCTATTCTTAAGAACCTTTGGCATCATACAGATGCTATAGTTTGCTGCTCAATGAAGGTACTAACTCAATATCAAGCTCATGAATGTCTTTCTCACAGTCACTGATCCTTTTATAACCTTTTTGTTTAGGCCATGCCCGTGTTCACATTTGCAAACCAGGCAGGACTTGACATGCTGGAGACTACATTGGTTTCTCTTCAAGATATCTCTTTAGAGAAGATATTTGATGACAATGGAAGAAAGACACTCTGCTCTGAGTTCCCACAGATCATGCAACAGGTTTTGAACAACTTTCTGCTCTGATTTGTGTAGTTTGATCACAGCTTTTATCTGACTTTAACTGGAGGTTTTGGTTTTAGGGTTTCGGGAGTCTTCAAGGTGGGATATGTATCTCGAGCATGGGGAGACCAGTTTCATATGAAAGAGCTGTTGCTTGGAAAGTACTCAATGAAGAAGAGAATGCTCATTGTATCTGCTTTGTGTTCATCAATTGGTCCTTTGTTTGAGATTTATTTGTACTTTTGAATAATCTGTTTTTTCTTTCTTTGAAGAGGAACATGTTGCCTCGTGGGTGTTATTGCAAGACGGTCTATGTAGTTGTTTCTTGGTGTTTGCTGTGAAACACATTAACAGTATTTTGTTTGAAAACTCAAAGACATGCTTGCTTTTTATATGATTGTGTGTGTTGGTGGTGATTGATGATCATGATCCTTTTCTTTTCTGATTATTAGTGCATTCAGCTTTCGAAAATACTTTTTTTTTATATATATACACGTTTCTATAAATTATGGCCATCATTACACTCAACAACGACTATATCTGGTGCATGGTTCTGTTTAGGATAAGGTTGAGATGTAAACCGAATATTTTGAATGTTTAGGATAAGTTTAAACCGAAATATTCTGCGCGAAATTAAACCAAAATCTGTTTACAATATTTTCGTACTGAAAGATTTTTAATCGAAATAATATACTAATTTCCTAAACTCAAATTCATCTTTGTGATTGTTTGGTATAATATCTTCTCAATGCAGAGGAATAATTTTTTAGTACTTGTCTTAATTTTGGAAATATGTCTACTTATCTTAATTTAATGGTTTACCACATTACCGATCATCGTTGGAATTACAAAGATCTCTAATCGTGTTCTCAACAGTGTGTGATGTCATATTTGATGGTTTCCGGAGCAGCTATGATTCAATGGCTATCATACATATTAGAGCATCCGCAATGGCGGTCCTTAGCGGGAAGTTCTTAGAGAAAAAATAATTAAATAATCAGTGGATGATGTTACTTAGTGTAATCTAAAGAACCAAAAGTTGATATACGAAAGTTTTGTTATACCACTCTAACACTCTTCCACCTTAAATTATATTTTTGTTTCTGCTTTTCCATTTTTTGGTTTATTATGTGTCGGTTCGGTTCAAGCAGTTACACTTTAACGTTAAACTTCTTGTTTCGTGAAAACACTTTTAACGTTAAACTTAGTCCGTTGTTTGTAATGATGATCGTATCAAGATCGATTACCATAGTAGGCATGTTGATTTGATTACTGTTGGATAATTCTAATTAACGGGTAAACGGCTTATTTTCCTATCATAACTATCATATATTAATAAATTAGGTGTTTTACCCACACATGCGGGCTTAATTATATTTAAGTCAATTTTAAAAATCATCAAAATAAATGATTATTTGCATCCAAATAATTCGACCTAAAACATTATTATATTTTACATTGATAAAGTTATTCACAAATTAAAAACAAATCTATGGTTTCTTTTAAAATTTTGAAAAATCTAAAGTCTATTCCATTTCTTCTTAATTGATAAAAATATAGAAATCTATCTTTCAATTTGAAAAATTAAATCAATAAATATACATTAAAAAATTGATCTTACATAAAGAATAAAATTAGTTTGGATAATAATACAATTTTGTTTTTGAATTTATTTTTGTCAAACACGTATTTTCATTCTTTTTGAATGATCTTTTATTTTATATGATTAATTCATGTTTAAGGTTTAACTATATAAAATATAAACATAAATTAATTTAACGTGTGAGTTCATAGGCGAAAAATAACTTCACGAATATATATCATTATATTATATTATTATATTATATTATTATATTATTTTAATTTGAAAATAATTACGTAATATTCTTTTTGCGATTTTCTCTTTTGAATAATATACAATTAAAAATTTTACTTTATGAATATTTATTTATGTGTTTTCTGTTTTTGAATTTTTTTTATCAAAAATAGATTTTCCGGATAACAACACAATATATATAAGAAGTATCTTTTTATTTTATTTTAAAATATATATTTAGATTATGGATAATTATTATCATTATTATTAATTTAAATCATTTATCTAATCAAATAAGTATTAAAATCATTTTTATTTTTAGTTGATTTATATATTTTATTCATTAAGGGTATAAACGATATTAACCACTCCAACTTTTAACGTGAGAGCTCCGTTGCAAAAGATCACTTCGCAAATAATAGTATAGATGGACACAAATTTTGGACCTGATCCTAATTGCACGCAATTAAACTATATTAACATATTTCTCCTCAAAAAGAAAGATTGAAACCCAATTCTCCCTAAAGTTTGAAGAATATACTAATACCAACAAATGACAGTTTAAAGTATGTTTAGTATTCTTTGTTTTCTGATTGTTTTTAGTGTTTAGGGTTCCAAAAGAGGTGAATCGGTTGGGGAAAGATTAATAGAGGTTCAGATCGGTTTATAATCGATTCATTTGGGCCAGGTTGTACCAATGTTAATCGAAACCATTAGATTTAATATCGGTTAACGTTATAAACCATTAAAACCAATCTCAGTTTTTCGTCTGTGTGGAAACGAGTTTTGATTTTTCATTTTGCGGAGAAATAAGTTGCTATAGTTTAATTGTGTGCAATTGGGACAAGGTCCAAAATTCGTGTGGATCTGTTACTATACGATAGTTATGGTGTGGAAATAGGTCGTTTAGTTAAGGAGAAAATTAACTTATTAAAGGGAAGTTTAGTAAGTTAAGGAAAAGGAAAAGATATCGAACTTAGGAATGTTTCTATATTATTATTAGGTTAAGATGTAGCTTCGACCTATATAAATAGTTGCAGAGATGTTGCATCTCTTAAGAGAAACAAGAGAAACACATTGATTTAGTTTTGAGAGAATTTCTAAATCTAATAAGAACTGCTAGTTCTTATATTTGTGTGTTCTTTCAACTTTAATTAGTATCTGAGCGGTTTACGAAGATCTGCAAGAAGACCAAATAATACCCTTCAAGATGGAAAAGAATCCTTCGAGTAGGAAGAAGAGGTTTGTGGCAGAAAGAGTAAGAAGATCATGGAACCTGTGATGTTGTGGGAGAAACATTCTCAAAAGAAACCCTACGATTATTAGTAAAAGGTGGTGCCAAGATGATTCGCTGAAGGATAAACACATGAGATGAAAATGAATGTGGTCCTTAGTTTAAGGGGTAAAATGTGAAATAATAAACAAAGTCTCACATAGGAAAATTAGACAAGGAGAGTCTAATATATAAAGAGAAGTCTAACTCTAATAGTACGAGCACTACAAGAAAACTAAGAAATTACTAGGAAATTTTACTAGGAAAATAATTCTTCGTAAATTTACTACGAACTTACTTCGATTTTACGAGGAAAACTAGTTTCCTCGTAAGGTCCTCGTACAGGTACGAGAAACAGTTTTCCTCGTAAGACTGTAGTAACCTTACGAGGAAACTACGTGGCAAAAGTCCATTTCCTCGTAAACTCGTAGTAATAACTTTCCTCGTAAAGTCCTACTAAAACCCTACTACGAAATTAGGAGGAACTGGATAGAAAATATCAAATTTCATTCAAAACGTGTTTTGTACCTACATTTCCTAGTAAATGCTCAGATTCGAAAATTTCTATAAATACCCCCATTTGTGATTCATTTGAAACACACCAAAAAAAAATCAGCTATAAGCTTGATCAAACACAAAAAAATGTCCGGTCCGGGAAATATTTTCGAGTTGCGGAAGTGGATGTATTCACACAGAGATAATAACGTGAGGGTGACGAAAGAATTTCTCGAAGGGTTGGAGACGTTTATGCATCAAGCAGATTCTATACCACTCACGCAAGAAAGTGGTAAGATGTTCTGTCCTTGTCGGAAATGCTGCAATACAAAATTAGGCCCTCGTGAAATTGTTTGGAAGCATTTAATAAATAGAGGTTTCATGCCATATTATTATATTTGGTATCAACATGGAGAAGACGATGCTAGTTGTAGGAATGAAGGTAGCAGTAGTAATAGCAATTTTCAGGTTGAACCGGTTGATCATTTGCGTAATGAAAATAGCTATCATCACCAAGAGGAACAAATGGTAGATTGTGATAGGGTTCATGATATGGTAGGTGATGCATTTGTAACTCATGATGATGATGAAGTTGAAGAACCTAACTTAGATGCAAAAANGCAGTAGTAATAGCAATTTTCAGGTTGAACCGGTTGATCATTTGCGTAATGAAAATAGCTATCATCACCAAGAGGAACAAATGGTAGATTGTGATAGGGTTCATGATATGGTAGGTGATGCATTTGTAACTCATGATGATGATGAAGTTGAAGAACCTAACTTAGATGCAAAAAAGTTTTATGAAATGTTAGAAGCTGCAAATGAGCCAATTTACAGTGGTTATAGAGAAGGTCTGTCTAAATTTTCGTTGGCTGTTAGAATGATGAGTATTAAAACCGATCACAATCTACCTGAAAATTGTATGGATGCATGGAAAGATTTGTTTAAAGAGTATTTTCCAGAAGACAATGTCTCTGCTGAATCTTATTATCAGATTCAGAAATTGGTATATAGTCTTGGGTTGCCCTCGGAGATGATAGACGTTTGCATCGACAACTGCATGATTTACTGGGGAGATGATGAGAAGTTAGAAGAATGTCGATTTTGTAAGAAGCCACGATTCAAACCGCAAGGTCGAGGGCGTAATAGGGTACCAAAGGATGTGGTACCTACCAATCACAGACAGATTGAAAAGATTGTACCAATCTGAGGAGACTGTTGGAGGGATGAGATGGCACGCCGAGCATACTCAGACGGATGGAGAGATGACTCATCCATCAGATGCAAGAGCCTAGAAACATTTTAACAATGTACATCCACATTTCACTAGCAATAGCCGGAATGTGTATCTTGGATTATGCACTGATGGATTTAGTCCATTTGGAATGTCTGGGAAACAATATTCATTGTGGCCGGTCTTTCTTACACCGTATAACCTGCCACCTGAGATGTGCATGCGACGAGAGTTTCTATTCATGACCATATTAATACATGGTCCAAAACATCCAAAAAGATCTCTCGACGTTTTTCTACAACCACTGATAAAAGAGTTGAAAGATTTGTGGTCAACAGGGGTGACGACATATGATTGTTCGACGGAAACAAACTTTACGATGCGAGCGATGCTTTTGTGGACCATAAGTGACTTTCCTGCATATGGGATGTTGTCTGGGTGGACTACAAATGGGAGATTAGCTTGTCCATATTGTAATGGAATGACAGATGCGTTTCAGTTGAAGCATGGTAGGAAGACTAGTTGGTTCGATTGTCACCGTCGATTTCTTCCCGTTTACCA